CTTCGTCATAGGGTACCGATTAAGGGCGTTGTAGCAAGGCCATTATTAGACTTTTAAAAACCTTTTCTTTTTCCAATATTTTGAGTAAAATATTGGTGGCGACTCCATGAACCTATTTTCAAAACCATTAATTGAGGATTAGTCTGGTGTCCGGGCATTCCTTGATTAATGAGACTTTTAAAAGGATGTCTAAACCATAGGTCGCAAGATCGGAAATTTTCGGGTTGCGACATATGTTAATGTTGTTGGCATTAGAGAGTATTTTTTCCAGCGATATTTAATGCGTTGATATTTAAAAATATCTTTTCACAATAATTGTAGGCATTGTTGGCATAAAAAATGCATTTCCCAGCAACATTGAATGTGTTACATTTAAAAACATCTTTTCGCAATGATTGTATGCATTGTTGGCATTAAAAAGAAAATTTTCCAGCGACATTAAATGTGTTACATTTAAAAACATCTTTTCACAATGATTGTAGACGATGATGACATAAAAGAACAAGTTTCCCAGCGACACGTAGTTTTTGCAACGATATTGTTCTTGTTGACAAAAATAAAGTCTTATTGTAACAACATTTAAATATTGTTGGCAAATGTTTATTTTTACCAACAACTCATTTATCGCTGTAAAAAAGTCGTTGCAAATAATGTTATTTCTAGTAGTGGGCCTTGCACTACCCACAAGCTTGCACGAAGATGATCCTCCAAGATTTTGAAAGGATTGAAAGAATCGAGGATTATTAAGGAAGAGACCATGGTCTTTTACAAGTCTCTTTAGTTCACACAGGATAGCGGGATGAAGAGACTTTCCATTCCCATTTTTACTGCTCCCCTTCTACATATTTTTTTTTCTATTTAGGTTCCTATACAAGTTCTTTTTGGGTTAGATTTAACTCTCAATTTGTTAGGAAAGATGAAAACGAAACAAAAAAGTTTACAAGGAAAAAATTCAAAAAAAATTTTATAAGCGATTAAAAGTAAGAACACTCTATTTTACAAGGATTAAAAAGATATTTAATAATTTATTTTATCATTAAATCTCATTTATATTTCTCTTTTCTTTAATTTTTATATATTGTGTCATTGAATCTTACATTACTTAAGTGGTGACAAGTCGTGATTCAACGTTAAAATTTAACAATTAATGAATGTTAAATTGATAGTAGAATCAATATTTTATATTTTTAAAATTAAAGAATTAAATATTTCTATTTTAAAATAAAAATACCAAAATTACAAATTAACAAAATAGAAAAATCAAAATTATATATATAGAAACTAAAATGAAATATTTGTATTTAAAAGGACTAAAAAGTAGAGTTAATAAAACTATAGAATCAAAAAAAAAATCTGAATAGTAAATTTTAAATAGGTTTAAAGATAATTTTCGTTCTTGTAATTTTTTTTTTTTTTCATTTTTAGTTCCTTTAAATTTTTTGTTGTTATTTCATTCCTAACCTTTTACAATATTTCAAAATACTATCAAATTCCATTAAAAAAAATTCTTTGTGGAAAATAAAATACACATTATATTTGTTATATTTCACCATTTTCACATAGGTAAATTGATTTTAATTTCTTTTAGACAAAACTTTAAAATGCACTTCACTTCAATGCACCTAAACCAACACCTTCATCCTTACGGTTATGTTTCCCTTCTCCAATCCAAATTTGACACCACAAATCCTAAACTTCCTAATCTCAACCCCAATCCCACTGATGAGGAGTAGCTTCTCACAATCTGCGATCTTGACAACAATGTTGAGTTTGTCCTCGATAAACACTAAAGGCAATTGCCATCGATTGCCACCACACTATGAAGGAGTTCAATCTCACTCTTAGCTACTCATTCATCTTGCAAGAGCTCATGTGTTGTCACAATGTCCACGACTCCATTGGCGTTATTGCTAAAATTGCCTTCTCCAAGACTAAGGAACCGTGACAATTGGCTCAGGACATTAAGATCATTGCCACCTATTGCAACAGTAGCAATTAGTGAAACACTTCATCTAAGAAGGGAGGTTGACGGTTTAGCTTTGTCATCGACGACAGCCAAGACGTGAAGTTCCACGACCCAGAGAGGATGTTCATGAAGAGTATAATGAAATGACAACAATGAAATTTATTTTGAAATTTTGTCTAAAAAAGATTAAAATTAATTTACCTAGGATAATAAAGTAGAATATAACAAATATAATATGTATTTTTTAAGTCGCATAAGACTTTTTTTAATGGGAGTTGATGACAAGGACTATTTTTCAAATGTTATAAAAGATTAGGAATGAAATTGTTAAAAAAAATTACAGAGAGTAAATGTGAAAAAAGGAAAAATTATAGAGATGAAAATTATAATTAAGCCTTTCAAATATAATTATATGTTTTTAAAAAGTATCATTTTGTCTTAGTTGTGGACATAGTCACTTCCAAATTAGCAGGATGGAATAGTCACCACCAAAATTAATTTTTTATGGCAATTAATTTATTATTTAGCGGCCGTATAAATGACCATTGTTTTTACCAACATTTAAATAAAGGCTAGTGTATCCAGTGTCGCTAATACTATTACCGACATTTATATAAAATGCTGGTAAAGATATACTAAATTGTTAGAAAAACTTATTTTTTTTAGTGGCAATTCTAGTAGCCATTTTAAATGCTATTAAAAGTTAATTTTTTTAATTGTCTCCTTTACTTTAAATAATTTATTCCTATAATTTTCTTTTCTAAATTCATAACTTATATACTTTTTTTTTATCTCTACTCGATGTGGGATTTGTAAGATGAGAGTTTTCTTTTATTTATATATTTTTTAATTTATTTTTTTAATTATCTTGTCTCTTAAGAAATGTGAGATTTATAAGGTGAAAGTTGCCTTCTAATTATTTTATAACACTATTGAATTTGGTAATAATGAGTGATTTGACACCAATTTAGAATAGTGAATTAGGAGTCAACCCTATAAAATGAATCTATAAAGTGATAGTTATTACTCACTTATATATTATTTAATTATTTTATCTCTAATCGATGTGAGACTTAAACTTTTTTTAATAAATAATTATCGCTAATAATAAACTTTAGTATAATATAAATATATTTTTAGCGGCTATTATATATTAACCATTAATATTTTTATATATGGCGATAATTAAATTATTTTCATTAAATAATTATCATTAATAATAAATTTTGTTATAGTGAGTAATCATTGATCTCCTTTTGATGATGATGTTCATCCAATTTGGTCCACCCTCAACGACATATAAGACCTTCATAATTCCATTCTCTTTGGTTCGAAGTCTGACACTACTACTTGTCATATCATGAATATCTCTTGGTCCATTTTAGGTTTGGTAGAATTGCTCGTGACTCTGGGTTCTTGAGGTAATGAGACTACACTACTAATGTTAGTCCAGAATTTTATGCCATACACAAAAGCTTAGAGTTAGCTTGGAACCTGTTGATTATGAGTCGGATTCACTTGTAGCTATTAATTCGATTATATAGAATGATGTTAGTTGTCGTTCAATAATAGTCATCATCAACCTTTTTAGATCTTTCAAAAACAAGACAGTATAGAGAGACTAACTTGTGTACAAATTCTTTAACTTGTCATGCATGACTCAGTTACGGCTCATGACTAAGTTATTTGACAGAATTATCATTATTTCATTAGCTTGTATATATTGGCTGAAGCCATGAGAATCTCTAGCATTTTTTCCTCTTTTTTTTTTTTTGATATAAAGGGGCTAAAAGCCCTTTTCCTCTTATTAATTACTTACAAATAATAATAAATAAATAAATAAATAATAATAATAAAAACTGAAGAGAATATGTCATTATTGTGATATGTTTTGCTAACATTTAAAACTGTTTGGCCTTTAGTTGGTGTGGGAAGCAGAAAGGAACCATAATATCTAGATGGCACACACAAGCAACTGACGCATAACTAAACTAGATAGAACGCAGCCACGCACAACTGCAAACACTACGAGGTCATATTTGTCTCAGACAAATATATTGATAACTGATTGGTGCATGTAATTTTTCCTTCAAAGTGAAGTTGACGTTAAAAAATGACTGATACCACATAGGATTAGAACTAGGAGGCTGACAGTTTCTTGGGACTGATATAGTGATATCTCGTGGAAGTATTTTGCAAAAGACTCATCTTCATTATTAATTTATCATGACCAATTAAATAAATCAAAATTTAAACTTATTGAAGGAAGTAGGAAGAATATATCATTTTAACGTAAAATTTGTTTTAATTTGTCAAAGTTGGATATTTGTCTTTCCAAGTTTTTTTTTTTAAATACTAAAATTCATTATTATAACCAATTAAATCTCAAGTTTAAAAAAATCACCGAAGGAACCAGGAAGAATGTTATATGTTTACATTAAACATTGTGACAAGTAGAACATTTATGTCTTAATAATATTAATGAATTTTTTAGAGTAATTCCGATATAATGTGTAAAATATTTTACAATATTACCTAATAAAAATTAGGTTACAACTTATGGTTATCATTGAAAAAATCCATTAACTTTTCATACATGACTGGGATGGATGACCATGCAACTTTGTTTTCTTCACATTATCAGTACATGCTTTATTAGGTCCCCACTCCTCAATAACAAGTTCGGTTCCTTGATTGGATTATCATCCAAAGTTTAAATCCTCAACTAACACTTCACTCAAGTAGAATTCAAGAAGCTTCACGTGTTTCGTTGGGTCCAACCTATTCTCGAGTTAAAAATATGAAAATTACCAAAAGTAAATTTTGCTTTGAACGTGGAAAATACATGCAATTATTACTTGATATGAAGTAGGTCTAAACATGCTATTAGTCTGGTTGCATAGAACATTCAAGATAACAAAAGGAAGTGTTACCATCACCATCAGGTGTACTATCTTAATCAACTGCTGAAAGATGCAACAACTACGCTTTTATATTTTCATTGCAAATGGATTTGCATCATTGTTTCTATTACTCAAACAAATAAGAAGTATATTAAACAAGGTTAGAAAGATGCAATTCTGAAATACATTACTGCAAGTTGCATTTACCCGTTAATACTGCAAGGAAATATATAGGTAAAGTGGCAAACCGAAAATCATTAATATCTAACACCAAGCAAATTTACATTTCAGCCTCCTGGCAGCATGTCAGCCAACAGTTTCATCTTTCAACTAGACTAAAAGCTTAACTGCTGCATCTCAAACCTTATCGACATCACGTACAAGGCTTTATGCTCACATCGGTTTTACATGTTATAGCTCATTCTTGCTGAAATGTTATTAAAAATGCTGAATTGACAGGAGTGAAAATTATGGTAGAGCATCACATCAAATCATATACAAAAGCTTCTTGCCCAAAAATAGAAGACTGACAGGTTTTTGTGACTGATATCTATCGGGAAAGTAATTTGTATGAGGGTAAATCTTCAAGCCGCGTTATGTCTTCCACTAGAAGCTCTTTCTCTAGCTGACGTCGTGTACTCTCTTTTA